AAGTAAGAAATTCTAAGAGATGGAGATGAGGGAAAGCATTCCAGACATGAGGAATAGCCAGTGCAAAGGCACATAGATCAGAGAGAACAGAGAGAAGGCCATTTTGGTTGGATCAGAGTGTAGGAGGGGATATAATGTACATTGAGCCCTGAAAGATAGTTGGAACCAGGTTGTAAAGGGCTTTAAAAGTTAAACAGGAGCTTATATTTTATCCTAAAGGCAATAGGAAGACACATTGAGTCTGGAGGAGTGACATGGTCAGATTTGCACTTAAGGAAAATCACTTTGGCAGCTGTGTAAGATGGACTAGAGTGGGGAGAGACTTGAGCTAGGGAGACCAAATAGGAGGCAATTGCAATAATCTAGGTGAGAGATAAGGGCCTGAACTAGGGTGGTAGCTGTGTAAGTAAAAAGAAGGGGTCCATGTGAGAGATATAACAACTGATTAGATCTGTGGAGTGAAGGGCCAAGGATAATGCCAAGGTTCTGAACTTGGGAGACTGGAAGAATGAAACAGGGGAGTTTCAAAGAGGATAAATTTGAGGGGAAGACAGTGAATTCTGTTGTGGACTTGCTAAGTTTGAGATGTCTCTGGAACATCAGCTTGAAATGTTTTCTAGGCAATGAAGGACTGAAGTTGAAGGGACTAAAGCTGGATATATCAATTTGGAAGACATCTCCATGGAGATAATAGTTAAACATATGGGAGAAGATGAGATCACTGAGAGTCTTTGGAGAATATTCACTTATTGGGGATGTGATAAAGATGATGAGCCAGCAAAGGCAACTGAGAAGGCGTGATTAGACAGGTAGGAAGGTAAACAGGATAGAGTAGATAGAGAGATAGAGAGGGGAGAGAATATCCAGAAAAGGGTGGTCAAACATAGCAGAAAAATGCAGGGGATAAAGAGACAACTTCTTGTTGACTGTCCAAGAGCTTTTGGTTTAATAGAGGCAAGTATAGCCCCAAAGACTCTCCACCGCCAATTGATCTCCCATGTGTGTAGCTAGATTATCCATGAGTCAGTGAGAAAGGGAAACAGAGAGAGAACTTACTGATTTTTAAGAGCAAACAAGGCATTAAGCACTACCCTTCCTCCCACTTTCCCTGAGTAGCATTTTTTGGCTTTAACAAATGCAAGTCAGTGGGAAGGAGGTCTGGGGGCTCTTCTGACCCACTTGAAAGGTTCACTTAGCAAAGCACAATTGCTGAAAGGCAGTTATTCTTTTGGGAATTCCAGGTTTTTTTAATAGAATGGCAATCATGTCATGTGACCCTTTACAATTCACAAAGTTCTTCCTTCACAATAATGCTATAGGGTACATAGTATGAGTACCATTAGTTTGTATGTTTCTTTTTGCTCATGGTATTTGCTTATTTCCTGGCCTTTAAACAGATTGAGCTCTCCTGCTGGGGAGCAGAGGGCACTGACCCCAGCTTCTTGTGCTGGGAGCCCAGGGCCTGGACACTGGCTTTGTGTGCTGGGACTTCCAATGCTGGCAGTTGGAAGCCGTAGGATTCTGGCAGCTTACCTGGTGTTGGGCTGGAATCAGCAACACTGGAACTCTAGGGGTAGGACTGGGTAGTCTGGCCCCTGGAGGTTGCCTGCTCACCTGGGCCTTTCCTTCCTTTTACTTTCTTCAGCTCTTTTCAGATGGATGTTGCAGGATGTTTATCCTCCTGGGGCCCCTTGGAGTGTTGCTTCCTTTAGTTTTGCTGAGGCACTGGGAGACCTGGTTGCTGTAGAATGCTGGGGCACCTGGTGGTTTTCCAAGCTGGTTTCCACTGGTTCCCCAGCCCTCACTAAGGCACTCAGAGGTCCAGGTGTTGGTGTTTGCCTGCTCCACCACCTAGGTTTCAGGATCTCTTCCTGGTATGCTGAGGTGGGGCTTTCTACTAGGTTGCTGGGACACCTCCCATTCTGTACTACTCCCCTTCCCCCAGCGCAAGAAGGGCCTTTCCCATTAATCCCTCAAACTACCTGGGCTATGGTTCTGCTTCACCCTGTCTTCTTCTGGCTCAGCTGTTCCAGGTTTTTCCTGGGGCGATATTTTCTGGGCTTTCAGAGGTTAATAAGGGAGGGTAAGAGCAACTTACTTCTTACTCTGCCATCTTGGCTCCCAGAAGCGGAAGTCAAGAGTACCATTAGTTACGTTTTCCTAAGAATGCTGTTTTCACTGAAGGCTAACACATGAAAATTGTGTTTGTTGGGCCTTAAATATAGTGAACTTCAGCCTCTACCATTGTCAATTGGCACCTTCTCTCTAGCTTTTAGTCTCCAAGAGTTGCCTAGAGCACTGAGAGGTCACATATCATGTGACCAGAAGCACACAGTCTGGACGTGTGCAAGATACCTGAGGAGGTCATCTGTCTACACTGGGCCATGCTGCTTCTCTGGCTCTTCCATAGCTGAAATGATTATTATATTACAACTAGAGCCAGCATTAATGAAATAAGGGACTGTGTTAGATTCAAAGATAAAAAACACTCTTACCTTCAAGCTCAAGTAATTGGAGGTAGGGAAGTGATATGTACACAGAAGTGTACTAGAAGGTAAAATGTGATCAGGGCAAAGGGTAGATCCAGACAAAGTGCTCTGAGAAGGTAGCACCTGAACTGGCCTCTCAGGAAGAGAAGGATTTCAATAGGCAGTGCTGTAGAGGGAACATGTGCATGGGAGATAGCAATGTGCAAATGCGTGGAGATGGGAGAGTTCCAGATGAGGTTGGAAAACAGCCTCTAAGTTTACTTGGAATATAGAGCACATAAAGGGGAAGAGGATGAAGTAGATTTGGAAAGGGACATTGGAGCCAGAGGGCCTTCAATTGAGCCTGAGTACTTTGATTCTGTAGATACTAGGGAGCCACTTGAAGGGTTCAGCCCTTTGACGTCATACCATCAGAGGTCCGAGTAACTGCAGAGAAGTAACAGAAGTGGGGTGTGCCTTAAGTACAGGTCAGCGTTTGATGCTTGCCCCAGGCATTTGATGTCCAATGCAGATTCCAGATGAAAATGGGATTCTTTATATGTGATGAGGGCCTCCACTTGCCTCCTGTTTGCTGGCGGAATCAAGTTCTGGAATATTACCAAGTCTAAATGAATTCCATGAGAATTCACAAATTTGGCTTGATATGTTCCCCACAGTTAAGTGGATGAAAAATGCCTACTGTCCAGACTATGACCTGCAGTCCATGGAATTAGTCCATCAGTGGATGTATATCTTGGGAAGACCCTGTAGGTGGGAATTGAGCTGAATCCTGAACTGACCAGGCAGAGCAGAAATAGCAGGATGACATCTGGGAATAGCCCAGTACAGTGGGTGATTTCTCATTCCCTCCTCTGCCAAGATGCTTCTCTTTGAAACAAAATCCCATGTTTTTTAACACTAGAGTCCTTCAAAAAAGACAAAATATTTTCTTGTTGCTTTTTTGGCATACCATAACTTTCTAAATACTCCTCCTTCCCACTTATAACAAAGAAGCCAAACCAAGCCAGTATTTTAGGTGTCGCTGACCACATAGGCCTCATTCTACACCTATAGCCCACCCCTTCTCTAGCAAACTTTAATGCCAGTGCTTTTGAATCATTCCTGATCATTGGATCAGTTAGAATTCTGATGCCTTTCCATGGTACTTTCTTTCTCATGATTTCGGTTGTTGTCTTGGTTCTGCTTACTTTGTTCCGTAGCATTCACCCATTACTGATATTGTTCCGGTGATGCTGTATGGCTGCAAGTCATCCAAAGGGTAGAAAATGCAGAGCAGCTGCAAATGGACTGTAGAATATTGCAAACTACAAATCATTTATCCACATGAAGTGGCATGAAAGTTATCACCTACAAGGTGTATGACCAGAAAAGGTCAGTCAGTTCTATAGCTTGAACATAGATGATAACCAATGCACAGCCATGGTGTTGTACTCGGATAAGCATAAATGTTATGAGATCATCAGTTTGGATCTAGAAGGAACCTTAGAAGTGATGGAGTCTGGCTCCCTCATTTTACAGATAAGGAAATTGAGGCATAGAGTTTGAGGAAAGTTCCCAGAACATTGGTTGGACCTCCTGCAGAGGATTTTATGGAAGGACATTCACAAGTTTCATGAGATAAGAAGGGGTGAATGACTTGCAATCTATAGTCATTGGGGTGCCTACATCAATAAAATTGTTTTGGAAGAAATGATCATAAGTTCCATGATGGTAGGGACTATGCCTCATCTAAACTTTATCTATCTTTCCCTCGGGTGATATCCTGTACAGACTGAGTACTTAACAAATCTTTTTTGAGTTGAACTGAGGGTTCACTCTCCCTAAGAGTCTCCAGGTAGTCACGCTGCCAGAGACAGAGACAGGAGTATCTCTCTTAACACTATCTTCCCTGAATCAAATCCCTGGGATTTTCCAAGTAGATGATCGTGTCATCTACAAGTAGAAGACATCTTTCTTCATTTTTGCTGATGTACATGCATGGCTTTGTTTTCTTTCTGTTTGTCTTATTGCTATCACTGGCATTTGTAGGATGATATCAAGAGTAGTAGAGAGAAGGATCCATGCTTGCTTTAACCCTTGCCTTTATTTGAAAGGCTTCTAATAAATCTCCATTTGCAAACAATGCTGGCTTTGGATTTGGGATATTTTATTGTTTTACAAAAAGACCCTTACAGAGGCAGCTAGGTGGTACAGTAGATAGAGCACTGGCCCTGGAGTCAGGAGAACCTGAGTTCAAATCCAGCCTCAGACACATAACACTTACTAGCTGTGCTACTCTGGGCAAGTCACTTAACCCCAATTGCCCTCACCAAAAACAAAAACAAACAAAAAAAAAAGACCCTTCCAAGCCAATGCTTTTTAGGGTTTTTAACATAAATGAGTGCTTTTGGTATGACCGTGTGTTTATTGTTGTTTATATGATTATATAACATTGTTTCCTAATGTTGAATTGTCCTTGAATTTCTGGTCTAGGGAGCAGAGCCTGAGTCTGAACCTTGACCCTCTCCACAGGAGCCAGCATGACATCAACACACGCAAGAACATCAGTGATTCCCTACAGGATGAGCAGAGCTTCTTGCAGAAAAAATACCCATGCCTGGCCAACCAGAATGGCACCCGCTTTCTTGCTAAGACACTCAACAGGTGCTGCGAGGGCTGGCTAGGGTAGGCTGGTGATAGAGCTGAAAAGTACCTGGGAGTCACCTGGGATTGGTCCTTATGTTCCCTTCCTTAGGCTTCTGATGCACCACATCCGAGATTGCCTGCCTGAGCTGAAGACCCACGTGAACGTGCTGACAGCCCAATACCAGTCAGTACTACAGAGCTGTGGGCAGCCTGTTCAAGACCAGAATGCCACTCTGCTGCAGATCATCACCAAATTTGCCACTGAATACTGCAGCACCATTGAAGGCACAGCAAAGAATATTGAGACCTCAGAACTGTAAGCTCAGGGAAGGGCTGGGGTTGCAGGGTTGGAGGGAATAATAATAATCTATCTAGCAAACTGTTTCCTCCATCCTTCATAGAAAACCCCAAATGGGATCATTGAAGAGTTGGTCATGTGAAATGACTGAACAACAAATATTTCGTAGTCGGGGAGAGGGGCTGTTGGAGGGTTTTGGCTTGGTTTTAGTTTGTCAGAACACTCTCTCCCAATGTAAGTTGGCACCTACTCAGCAACTTAGTCTAGTGCTCAATGTGATTTTCCAAAAAGCCCAAAAAGCAGTTAGTAGGTCAACAAGAATTTTATAATTAAATATTCACTACATGTCAGGCACTGTGGTAAATGCTCAGGAAACAAACGAAAAAGATGAAAAATAAGACCCTGCCCTCAAAGAGCTCCTGTTCTGATTGGGAAGGAGAAGGAGAAATCTAGAAATAATTAGGCATGTACAAGGTGTGTATATAGAGTAGATGGAAGGTAAACTGGAAAGCAAAGCATTAGCAGCTCAGGGGACTGAGAAAGGCCTTCTCAAGTGGTAGGATTTGAGTTGAGTCTTGAAGGAAGCCAGGGAAAGTTAAGACACAAGCCTTTCTCTCATCATGTCTGGGCATCATGTATTGCTTGTTGTTGTTCAGTTGTGTCCGACTCTTTGTGACCCCATGGAGCATAGCATACCAATGCTGTCCGTGGGGTTTTCTTGGCAAAGACTGTGGAGTGATTGGATATTTCCTTCTCCAGGGGATTAAGGCAAACAGGGTGAAATGACTTGCTCAGGGTCAAACAGCTAGTAAGTATCTGAGGCCAGGTTTGAACTTGGATCTTCCTGACTCCAGGCACAGTGCTCTATTCACTGCAGTGCCACCTAACTGCTTCCTGATGCCTCATGGAGCCCAGCAAATGTTAAGAGCTGGAAGAGTTCCTTAGAGAGCATCTAGGCCAACATACTAAAGCTCAGGCAGAGCAAACAACTTGCCTGAGATTTCACACTGAGTGATTGTAGAAGTAAAACTCAGAATCTTAAAAGCCAATTTCTTGGCTGGTACTTTTTTCTATTTCTCTATTTCTCTATTTGACTTTGGTCTGAGGCAAGGGTAATAGGGGATATCTAGGGATTGGGAACGGCCATGGGCCAACCACATCCCTGATGCCTAACCTCTGACCCCCTCCCAGCTGTGGTGGTGCTCGCATGTGCTACATCTTCCATGAGACATTTGGCCGGACTCTGGAATCCATTGATCCTCTGGCTGGACTAACCATGTTGGACATCTTGACAGCCATCCGAAACGCTACGGTAGCAGATCCCTCCTTCACAGACACTTTCCCCATTTTCATCCATTCTTCCCTTGCTTAGTGCCTGTAGTTGACCCTGCTTCTACTGATCTGTCTCATTGTTTGGGGGGAAATAGCCCTTTAATCAGAGGTGTGTGGTCAGCCAAAGAAACCAAGGCATAGTGTTGTGAAGAGATTTGCCCAGATTACACAGTTAGTAAAAGCAGCTGATGGGGATTTGAACTCAAGTCCTCTTGCTCCTCTGTAGCAGCTGTGTTGCTGTATTCAGACCCTCTCTGGGGACTCTTCTTTGAGAAGAGCCTTGACTGCTTGCGTTGAATTCTTTTGAATGGCTTTTATGTGGGCAGACCTTGGGCTTTTAGGGGAGAGGGAAGAGAGATTGAATTCTTGGAAACAGGGAGGAGGGGAGTGTCAGCCTGGAGATCAGGACCCCTCTGGTGCTATGAATCATTTGGTGTGAACAATCCACCATTTATTAACTCCAAGCCAGGCAGGCACTATGCTAGGCCCTGGGGATGAAAGGACAAAGAAGGAAACCAACCCTATTGTCAAGGACACCAGAAAGGAATGAGACTGGGGCCCCTTAACATGGCTCAAAAGAAGCTCTGAAAGAGAAATCCGCCAGTGAGCCAAGCCAAGGCTAACTCAGGGAATCCGTGTGGAGCTGCTGGAGTTGCCATGGCTCACTGAGGGAAGTTACAAATTCAGTTCATCTTTGTGTCATGCCTGTCACCATAACCTAAATTCTGTAGGAGCAGGCAGGAATAATCTTAATAGAAGTAGCTCACATTTATACAATAATAGAAGGTTTGCAAAGCATTTATCTTGGGGTGGGGTGGGGTTAGGGGGGCAGCAGTCTTGAAAGTTAAGTTTAGATGGAGTGGGAGGAGTGGATGACCCCCCTCAGACAGGATGTGGTAGTGATTGAGTGACCTTCATCTGGAGCCTTGGCCTTCCAAGCTGTCCCTTATTAGAAGGTGGGGAAGAGGAAAGGGGTGACTCAGAGCTGGAAGTTTGAGGTCAGGTGAAACAATTAGAGGTAAGTCTCCTTCCCCCTCCCACCCCCATATTGCCAAGAGAGTCTGCCAGAAAGGGGAGGAACCAAGTTGAGCTCCTTGTCTGATTCTGTTTGACTCCCACAAGCATTTAAGTATGCAAGAGACAGAAGCTGAAAAAGAGATGCTAAAGCCCCGATTCCCTGCCCACCCCTAGGAGCCTATTCTTCTGCCTTGACCGCTCTCCACCTTCCCTGGCAGAGAATGGGCCTAGAGTGCCCCCACTAGAGGGCTGGGTTCAGCTGGAGTCACTCCTGTGGGAGGGCTAACCTTGGGCTCCCTGTGTTTCCTTCCCTACCCAGGGCCCTCACAAGCTGGGGGCTCCCTGTGCTTCCCTCCGTACCCAGGGCCCTCTCCCAGCACTCTTTGTCCCAGAGGTCTCCTTTGAGCTGCTAGTAAAGAGGCAGATTAAGAGACTGGAGGAGCCGAGCCTTTGCTGTGTAGAGCTGGTGCATGAGGAGCTTCAGAGAATCATCCAGCATTGTTCTACTTAAAATACCCAGGTCGGGGCAAGAGGGGTCTGGGAACCAGCTCGCGTATACATGCACACACTTGTACACACACACACCTGTGCACATGCCTTCTCCAACATCCAATAGCAAGCAAGGGGGAGAGCCAAGACAAGGAGCCAGGTGTCTTGACTCTGGTTGGAGAAGCTGGGACATGGAGGGCAGAAGCAGCCTTCCTACCAGAGCCCAAGACTGACGAGCTCTGCCCTTTTCAGGAGCTGCTGCGCTTTCCCAAGCTACATGAGGCCATCATGGAGGTGGTAACCAGCGTCCTGAGGAAGAGGTTACCAATAACCAATGAAATGGTAATGACCAAGGCAGCTCTGGGACACAGCTGCCCTGATAGGGAAATGGCACCCACTTGGGTCAGGGCCCAGAGGGCACACTGAGTGGAAAGCATCTAGCCTGCATGACCTGCTAATGCCCTGGGCAAGTCGTTGGCAGGGGTACTAATAGCCAGCTTGATTAGAGAATGAAATGGGAAGGGAGAAAGAAGGGATGGGGAAAGGCAGGATCTTGTATAGAGGTTGAGCTGCGGGCAAAACCCACCTGAGCCTCTGCCCAAGATCATTTCCAGTGTAAGCCCCGCTAATCCTGGCAAATACGCTGCACCCAACAAGTAATCAGCTGAAGGAATAGCCAAGAGACCACACTCATCCTGGCTGAATCTGTGATCACAGACCCAAAGCAGGAGTGCAGGTCCTTAGAAGGAGGCCACATATGACATGAACAGGGGATCATTTTCAAACCACAGAATAAGGTGATGAAAGACCGACAAACAGAGGACTTGTAGGGGAAATCCAGTTGTCGCCATCTTGACTGTGACTCCCCCCATCCCCAGCTACTCAAAATGGCTTCTTCCTCTGTTTCCCCAGCCTGACAAATAGGAGAGAAGGAGTGAGACAGTACAGGTAGGGTGACTTCACTACCTTTCCTTGCAGGTTCACAACCTCGTGGCCATTGAACTAGCCTACATCAACACCAAGCACCCAGATTTTGTTGATATGACTCTTGTCTCAGCTTCCATCAGTAGCAACAAGGTACTTTTGAATGAGATCACCTAGATCTGGCTTCAACAAACCCTCATCTATTCCCTGAACTTATTTCCCTAGTCGAGAAGTATCTATGAAGCATCTACTATGTGCCAGGGCCTGATACTATGGTACCAGAAGAACACATGCACACAAATGGCATGCTTGTTCTTGTGATATCATGTAGATCAAGCCCTTCCTTGGTGGAGGGTGGACCAAACCTCTGATAAAAAGCAACCCCTGTGTTTAGTAGGAATGTATATGTAGAGCCTATATCAGGGAATATTTTTGAGCCTATGAAGAGGAGTTGGCCCTAAGGGGCAGCTGGGAAAGGGAGGGTCATTCTGCCTAATTTGCTTTGCTTTTGTTGGAGGTTGGTTATGGGATCCCCATACTTGAATAATTTGATGAAGCCCCTGACCCCCTCCCTGGATTTCCCCTTTGGTTGATGTGTGAGGTTCTTCTTATACCCCACTTCTGAGACTTGACTGCCTTTCTGCATGCGAATTATAGTTCTCTGTTGCTTTAATTTAGAGACAAACTAAAAAGCTTAGTGATTCCTCAGTTTGGAAAGACAGGCCGGGGAGGTGGGAGGGCTGGTGCAGTGAATGATGGGAAGCCTGTGGATGCATAAAAGTGGTTGAAAGGGGAAATCACAAATTTGTTCACCAAATTCAATACTAGAGCTAGAATAGAGACCATTTTTTTGTGGAAGTATCTTAAAGTTATTTATTTTGATTGATAACAATTAAAACTACATTTTTATTGATATCTTTTGTTTTACTTCACATTCATCTCTGATTATATCCCTACATATGCACAATTGCAGACACACAGATGCACGCGTCTTCCTTGGTAACAGATTAAAAATGAGGAAACAAGTCTAACAAACTTGCCATATATGGTGACAGTTCATGTGAACATTTTACATCCATAGGCCCTCAGCTCTCCAACAGAAGGAAAGTGCATTTTCTCAACTCCTTCAGGATTAGTCTTTGTTATTGTTCAGTCTTTTTCAGTCATGTCTGACTCTTCATGACCCCATTTGGGGTTTTCTTGGCAAAGATACTGGAGTAGTTTGCCATTTCCCTCTCCAGCTCATTTTACAGATGAGGAAACTGAGGCAAGCAGGGTTAGTTGACTTGCCCAGGGTCACACAGCTAGTAAGTGTCTGAGGCCAGGTTGGAACTCTGGAAGAGGAGTCTTCCTGACTCCAGACCTGGCCCTCCATCCACTATGCCACCTAGCTGCCTTAAAAATATATTTTTTGTTGTTGTTCAACAGTCTTGCTCACTGTAATTATACAGTGTTCAGGTTCATGACATTGTTTTCCTGTTTGTACATACTTTACTCTCCATCAGTTCGTATAAGGCTCTGAATTCTTCATATTCATCTTTTCTTCCAGGGCATCCTATTACATTAATATGCCACAAGGGATTTAGCCATTCTTCAATCATTGGGCACCAACTTTAGCTCTAGTTCTTTGCTGCCACAAAATGTGCTTCTATGAACATTTTGGTGTATGTGGGACTTTTTCTTTGAATTCCTTGGGACTCTAGCACTAGTATCTTCCAGTCCATGATTCCAGAATGCTTGGACCAATTCATATCTGCACCAATAGTGAATTAATACCTAATATCCCTGTCATTCCACAACTCTTTGAATTTCGATATTCCCGTCTTTGCCAGTTGACTGAATATGAGTAGAAACCTCAGTTGTTTGAATTTGCATCTTACTATCAGTGATTTGGATGCAACATGCCTTGCATGTTCAGTCGTTTCAGTTGTGTATGACTCTTCACGGCCCATTTGGGGTTTTCTTGGCAGAGATACTGGAGGGATTTGCCATTTCCTTCTCCGGCTCATTTTACAGATGAGGAAATAAGGCAAAGAGGGATAAGTGACTTGCCCAGGGTCACCCAGCTAGTAAGTGTCTAAGACTCAGGAAGATGAGTCTTCTTGACTCCAAGCCCAGTGCTCTCTCCCCTGCTGCACCCCCTAGCTGCCTTGTTTATCTTGACCATCAGACGTTTATCAGAGGCAATTGATATAAAGAGTTTTTTTCCCAGTCTAGTTTCCCTTATTCTCGCTGTATTTAAGTAGAGCAGGGGTTCTTAACTTGAGGTCTGTGAACTTTGGTTTTTTAAAATATTTTGATAGCTTTATTTCAATGTAATTTGTTTTCTTTTTAATCCTATGTATTTTATTTTATGCACCTAAAAAAAAAACCCTGAGAAGGGATCCCTCCTGTTCCCCAGCCTGCCTTCCTGTGTGCCAAACGGTCCATGACAGAAAACAGGTTTAAGAGCCCCAGAAGTCAAACGTCTTTGGAGCTTCCCAGAGCTGGTGTCAGATGCTGACCTAAACTGTTGGTTTTCTTTTTTGCTAAACTGCTTTTGAGTTTTGATGTCAAGTAAGGCATCCTTTCCAAAGTCATTTAGATCCTGAGTGTCTGTTGATTTTGAGCATTTCTGATTCCTGCTGGTCTGTTGTGTTCCATTGATCTACTTTTCTAGTTGGAACCAGCACCACCTCATTTGGATGTTGGCTTCTTTAGAGGATCATTGGAAGTATGCAGATGCTGTGTTCCTTTCATTCCTGTTCTTTTTAGTGTTTGCCTGGAGATTCTAGGCTTTGTAGCCATCTAGTTGAATTATATGACGATTTTGTGTAGCTCTATAAAATAACTGGTTGGTAGTCAGGTATAGAATTGAATGTGTAAATTAACCTAGATGCTGCCGCAGCACAACCATGAGCATTAAAAAGGCCTTCCTCCAGTCATTTGTTTCCCTTGATATTTTTAAAAGCGTTTTGTAATTGTATTTTTGTTCAGTGTAGATTTTGGACTAAAACTTTGGGGGGAGAAGCTATTTAACATAGAAATAGCCATACCATCCTTTCAGCTCCTCCTTTCTGTGTTCTCTGCCATTACCTTTGTCACTCCCACAAGTATACCCACCCAGTAAAGTCCCTAGATGCCTCATCATTGAATGGAGGTAGCCACCCTGGCTTCTTGAAGGTTGCCCCATGGGATCAAATGCTCTGGCAAGCCCTACCAAGCTGCACTAGCTTCAAGTGTGGGCCCAGTGATAGACAATATGACAGTTGCCTTGAGGACCAGCCTAGCTTAATTCATAGAGGAGGTCATTCCCAGGGGGCCTGTGGTTTTTGGCCACAACAACTGTTAAAGAGTTAGAGAGAGATAATGATCTGCATCAGGGAAGACACAACTCCAGACCCTGGAAATATAGCAGTCAGTTCACATGAATGTGTCTGACCCCAGGATTCCATCCTTCTGGTAAGGAATCTTATATTGATCAATCCTTACTCTGTAAATTATAGTCTAACAGTTTCCTGGGTTGCTCAAGTTAATGACTTGTTCAGGGTCATACATCTAGAATGTGTCAGAGGGAGGATTGAAAGCTAGGTCTTCCTAGCCCCAAGGCAGCTCTCTAGGAATTTGGGAAATCTCAGATTGGGAGACTGTGGGGAGGGGGATATCTGCCCTGTCTTGTAATGATGGTATAAGAAAGAACCATGACAGCCTTCCCAGAATTCTAGGCTGAGGAGCTCACAGGACCAATGTTGGGGTGGAGAGGGGCTCTCTTAAGTGTGGGAAGGGTTAGCAGATTATTCTAATCTGCAAAGCTATAGAAAAGGCTGGTTTGTGAACCTGAAGAAGAATGAAGAGGGTTGTTGCCTAATGGTTTTTTTTTTCCCCCAGGGACATGAGGTAGGCATTTGTCATGTCCCTGCCTCACCCATTGTTTTAGAGCTTCCATCAGGCTTATGAAATAACGTTTCTCCATTTGCCTCACTCTGTGATATGCTGCCCCTCCTGTCATTGAGCATCTTGAATATCACCATCCTGTCCTTTCCCTCCCCTCTACCCTGGACAGAGTGACACCTGCAAGCCGAATGGTTCTAGGGGCTGGAAGAGTGAGAAAGTGGGGGATGAAACTGTTCCTGAGGAAAAGGAGAATCCCAGATCATCTGAGTTATGTGGCTACTCTAATACCAACCGAACACGTGCCATCAACCTGTTAGATGCGGTGAGTGGCATTTGGTTTCAGCTGGGACCTGGGATAGTGGGCCTGACTTCTCTGGGGGAGGAAAGATCTATCTGGGTTGAAATTCATCTCTGTGACTGAATAGCTCAGGGTCTTGAACTATAGGGCTGATGAGATCCAGGTCATAGGGTTCCATTTCTCCAGTAGTTACTCAGTTTTATTCTGTGTCATGGCCCCAGACTGATTGTTTGTGAGAGAGAAGCCCAGGTGGAAGGGGTTCAGAATTCCCTGCTGGCCTTGGGACTCTTTTTCCAGTTCTGTAGCTTTTTTTTTTTATGAGGCAATTGGGGTTAAGTGACTTGCCCAGAGTCACACAGCTAATGAGTGTTATGTGTCTGAGGCTGGATTTGAACTCGAGTCCTCCTGACTCCAGGGCGGGCATTCTATCCACTGCGCCACCTAGCTGCCCCGCCAGTTCTGTAGCTTGGAACAGACACAGCTAGCACCATGCTTTCCTGGCTGATGTGGGCAATTTGGGGGCATAGAATATTTTCCAAAGGGTTTTTTTAACTACAAAGTTAAAAGGGAAGGGGAGATGAGAGTTCATAGAAATGACCACAAAGGGAGCTACTCACAATCTCTTATTCATCTTGTCCACCTTTGGTGGCAGTTGTCTTTTCAATGAGTAATTTTATGATGATAACCCACACACACACTCACAGAACTAGCCAATAAGGTTTGCTGCAGAATTTGCCACCAGCAGAGGTCTTGGGGTGTGTGGAGATGGAAGGGGCTGTTCTTTGGCTCCTCTGTGTCTTCCAAGTATCTGGGCTGCTTTTTGAAGCCTGTGGTCTCAGGCCAGGCTAGAGGACTGGCTGTTCCCAGATGGGAACAGTGAGGGTTGCAGCACCAAAGAGAGCTTGCTAACTTTGCTTTTTTACATAGAAAGGGTCCCATCTTAGTGATGTTTCAGTTTTCCATTTCCTGGGAGTTCTAGGGCAGTGATTGGCTAGACAGACTAGCTAGTATACTAGCTTTTCTAGTATAGGCTTTTGGGTAAGATAATACATATGAATGCTAACCTAGATTCTGGGAAGAGGTTTTTATAAAGGAGATAAACTTCCTAACAATGCTATTAAAGCCAAAGGGCCTCAATTTGTCACTAGAGCTATATATGAAGGTGTGCGCATATACATTTTCTAATAAATTATATCAATTTGATCAGTCACAAAGGAAAGTCGATGCTTGCATCTATAAAAATTTTTAATTGTGACTCTATCCTTCTGTACATTGTGAAAAAAGATCATAGCATCTGCAAAGTAGACATTTTGGAAGCTAGAAGGATGAAGAAGAAAGAGAGCTGAGCAACTTGAAATCACAGTCCCCAAGTTCAAATTCCAGCTCTGCCACTTCCTGCCTATGCGACATCTTAGAAATGCATTGCAGTAGTCATTAGCGTAGCTGGGATCACTTCAAAAAGGATCCAAATACAGAAGCACCAAAATTAAGCACAGAGTTTTTTCATCATAAACTTTGCTAAAGTCTAGCCCCAAATGGCTCAACTCCCATACCTTAGGATTCCTATCCCTTGCCTCTAACCTATCTAGGACACCAGCTTTACTTGGAGTTGCCTCTGGTAACAGAAGCAGAGCTCTCTGCTCTTGGGCTTTCAAAGCTTACGTACTGTTTGGGGACCGCCCACAAAGATACCTGTTTCCTTTCAGGAGGGGGAACAGAACAAAATGACAGGATTCCTGAGTTGGAGCTCTGTGTACCAATTCAGTTTCCTAGCTCATCACCTTCCGTGGGGTCTCTGACTCATCACTCACATTAGACCTTGGGAACCATCTGTCAGAATCCCATGAATACTAGTTGCCAAGATCAAAATCCCACGTCAAGCATACTGGCCTTATTAATAAAATGATTAAATTACTCAGAAAATCTACATCCAGCACTAATAATAGCAGATAGCATTCCCAGTAGGGATCCAGAAGACTGCTAATACATTTTTACTAGACATTCCTAACCCTGGTCAGGGCAAAAGATTTTTTTTTTAGAGAAAGGGGAAATAAGCCAGTTTACTGACCTTCTCAGTAGACCCTGGAATTCTAGGATCTGCCCTTTGTTGAGGTCATCACAAGTGACTTTGTGTATCCAGGAATACCATTTTTAAAGGTCACCCAGTGGTGGCTGGGCTATAGAGAATCTCTTCAAGTTGACCGGGCTCCCAGATAATACCATTAATTACAGTTGGGAGAAAGCATTCTAGGCAGTGGAATATTCAAACCCACTCTACAAGGAATATGGAATCACTTGGGAAACTCAGGCATTAGGAGGTTGTAAGACCACAGCCAAAGGTGGCCTTGTAGGCTCGTTTATCCTGGCTCTGATAGAAATGAATCTCTGATCTACTAGAGAGCACACCTTTTAAAAATACTTATTTTTTAAAATGCCACATGGACCTTCTTTCTGTCCTGAAAATGACCCAACAAGGTCACTAGATTTGACAACCAAAAGCTCATTGGTAACTTTGGAGAAAGCTGTTTCAGTTGAATGATGATGTCAGAAGCCAGACCGTAGAATTGAGAATGAGAGGAAAGCAAGTGGAGGCATCTCAATTGTAGATGGCCTTCTCAAAGACTTAGCAGAAAAGGGGAGGAAAGATATGGCGATGATGCTGGGGATAGATCAAGTGAAGGATTTTGAGGATGGGAGGATGTTTGTAGGTGATAGGAAAGTGGCTGGTAGACAGGGAGAGATTGACATATGAGTAAGTGGGGATGATAGAGGAACCAGTCTTTGGGAGAAGATGGGATGGGATGACCTCTGCATGGAGAGGAGTTTGCCTTGCCACGAAGGGCCACCTCTTCACGTGAGACAAGTGAAGGAGAAGATAATCACAAAAGGCATCTGAGTGATGAGAGAAGAGAGAGCTCTCAGAGAATGATTGCAATTTTTACATTGAAATATCAGGAAAGGCTCTCAGCTGAGAGGATGGGAAGAGAGTCATGGGAGGTTTGAGGAGAGACGAAAAAGTTTGGAAATGCTGCTCTGGTGAGTGAGATAGCAAGCCACTTAGGAAGATGTAAAAGGATTGCCTTGATGTAGTGAGGGCCCAGTTGAGCTTATGTAGCATAAACTTATAATGGACCCTGCTAACAGTTTCATGATTTTCTCTGGTTTCATTCAGCATCATTTGAGTAGAAGCAAAAGCATCAGATGATGGGAGTAATCCAGGGCTGAGACTTGGCAGGGCAAGATCAATGATAGGGTAAAGGGGCCGGAAGCTCAAGAAAAGAGGACAGTGTCAAGTTGAACTGCTTCACCAAGGGTTCGAGATGGGGAAGGGACACAAGTTTAGCCAGTGCAGGAGTGAAAGAACTAGGAAAGAACTGAGGGGTGGAGGGATTGAAGACCATGGTGAGGATAAAGAATATGGTTTGGGGTTGCGAAGCAGAGGGAGAGGTTGGAATGACAAGAGATTGTGACAGATAAAGGAATTTCAGAGTTCATGAACATGGAAGTAGAGTATTTGTATGTGATGGCAAGATCTAATATAGATCAGGTGGGGCAAGGAGCTAAGTTGAGAAATTGGGAGGTTAAGGTATTTGAGGTAGCGTATATGTGTATATATATATATGTGTGTGTGTGTGTGTGTGTGTGTGCATGTATATGTGTATATAGATGAGAGCAGTGTGAAATAAGGCTGGAAAGGTGGGTTGGAACTAGTTGGTAGAGGACCATGAATGCCAGAATAAGGCATTTGCATTTTGTCCTTTGAAGGCAACTGGAAGTCATTGAAGGTTTTAGAATATGATCATGATCTAATTAGACCCACATATGAGGAAAATTGCTTTGATATTAGTGTGGAGGAAAACTGCCTCCTGACAGTAAGACCAGTTAGAACTATTCCGATGCTCTAGCAAGAAGTAGTGAATCCTTAAATTCTGGTGATTGGCAGCATGAGTAGAGTAGAGGATGGCAAGAGATACTGCCAAGGTGACATTGACAAGGCTGAGAAACTGATCAGGGGCGATGGAGAAAGGGAAATGCCAGAGGACTCTGAAGTCCGAACCTGGATGACCAAGAGAATGGCAGCAGCATCAACAGAGATTGGGAAGTTGAGATGATGGAGTGGAGATATGGTCTGATAGGTTTATTTAAAAAAAAAAAAGTCAAGAGTTGGCCCTATCATCCACCCTGTAGTTAGGCAGAGCTCTCTTCCTTCTCCTCTTGTTCTGGGGACTGTAATTAAATCAGAACCTTTGCTTCTGTAAAAGGTATGTCATACTTCCTTATGGTTCCCTTCACTGTCCCTGAAATTTCCCCAAACATCCTTTTCTGGCCACCATTCCCTTCTCTGTGTTGTCTCCTCCCATCAGGATATAAAGTACTTTAGGACAGGTACTGTCTTGTTTTTTACCTGCCCCATACCCCCTCTCCCCCACCCCAGCTTAGTATATCATTTGAGACATATTAACCATAATATGTCTAATAAATGCTTTTCATTCACTCACTCGTGTATAATGTTGTCAAATACACACCCAGAAACCTTGCCCTCTGCCTATGCCTACTTGTGTAAGATTGGATTGGATTGTGATTTTTCTTATCTATTTGTGAAGTGAATTTAAATGTCCAAATTGCAAATTGATCACATGTACCATCTCATGTTTCCCCTCAGGTTTGAGGGGTACAGGAAAGTCGTGTTAGAGCAGGCCTGCACAACCAGCGGCCCGAGGGCCACTTGGGGCACACCAAAAGATTTCGGGCAGCCACGAAGAATGTAGAGGATTTTTTCTTCTTCATTTTTTGTGGGCCGCCCGAAATCCTTTGGCGTGCTGCAGGTTGTGCAGGCTTGTGTTAGAGCATCTTTAAGAGTTATGAAGGAACATACCTTTGACCCAGCCATACTGCTACTAGGTCTATACTCCCAAGAGGTCAAAGGAAAAGGACTTATATGTACAAAAATATTTCTAGCGGTTCTTTCTGTGGTGGCAAAGAATTGGAGGTTGAGGAGATGCCCATCAATTGGGGAATGGCTGAACAAGTTGTGGTATATGAATGTGATGGAACACGATTGTGCTATAAGAAATGATGAGGGAGATGGTTTCAGAAAAACCTGGGAAAACTTATCTGAACTGATGCAAAGGGAAGTGAGCAGAACCAAGAAAACATTGTACACAGTTAAACAGCAACATTGTAGGATGATCAACTGTGAATGACTTAGCTACACTGATTAACACAGTGACTCGCCACAACTCCAAAGGACTCATGATAAAACATACTGCTCACCTCCAGAGAGAGGACTGATGGGCTTGGAAGTCAGATCAAGGCATATTTTCTTTTGTTTTCTTTATTTTTCTTGCAATATAGACTAATATGTAAATATGTTTTGCATGACTCCATCTATTTGATGGGTATCCCATTTCTCACCTTCTGAATGGGTAGAGGAGGGACTGGAGGGAGGGAGAGAACTTGGAACTGAAAAGAAAAATATAAAAAAGTAATGATAGGGGAATAACTTCCTGCTTTTCCCCCTTAAATAAGGGAAGATTATTTATAGCTCTTACTCCAGAGACCCTGCCCAGAAGAGTGAGATTCAGTGCAAAGAGAGGGTGACTTATATTGGACCCCACATCACCTTGGACCACTAAGATAATGCCCAGGCAGCCTCTGGGACACTGGTGCACAGGTGCCCTGACTTAATTGTGCTTTAGGACATATTTCCTCTTACTGGCACCACCTTCTCTTGTGTCCTCCCCTAGCCCATGCCAATTGCCAGAAAACTGAGTCAAAGAGAACAGCGCTACTGTGAGGTAATCCGCAGACTGATCCAGTCCTACTTCCTTATTGTCCGGAAGAACATCCAGGACAGGTAAGTAGGAGCGTATGGGGGGGGTGGGGCTTCTACATGAGAGCCCTTAACCCAACAACCTCATCATGATTAAAGGTGGGAAGCAATCAGACATTGATGGATCTCTAGTGGTTTATTTTCTAAAGCATCTATAATTATGTTTAGCTTCATGACATACTTGTAAGTAAAACAAGGGGAAGGACTGTCCTTCTTCCATTTCACAAAAGTAGAAACTGAGGCTCAGAGAAGGCAAATTGTCCTTAGGGAGCCAGGACTGGAACCCAGGTCACCTGACTCCCTAGGACTCTTTCAATTAGAAAAACACAGGGAGGGGAATTCTTTATAGGGTTCCTGTGGGCCATTTGCTCCCTGCTTTAGAGTATCCTCCATCCCTGTAAGAACTACTCCCAGCCAATGCCTGTCTGGTCTCTGTCCTCCAACCCAGTGTCCCCAAAACAGTCATGCACTTCCTGGTGAACTATGCCAAAGACCACCTGCAGAGTGAGCTGGTGGGACAGTTGTACAAGACCGAGCTACTGGATGGGCTGCTGACTGAGTCTGAAGACATGGCCCAACAGCGAAATGAGGCAGCTTCCATGCTCAAGGTAACTAGCTGCTGATATTATGTGAGAACTCTCCCCACCCCCATCCTTAGGGAGTGTCTGGGACTGTTAGTGATGCTGCCATGGCCCAACGATTTTCTTTTCTTTCTTAGACCCTACAGAAGGCCAACCAAACCATCTCTGAAATCCGAGAAATTCAACTTTGGTGAGTGGTGTTCACCATGCCTGCTGCCCTGAGTCTGCTGTAACCTTAGGGGCAGAGCTGCCAGCTTTTGTTTTTGCCGACCTCATTCCAGGCCCTGTTGCCTCTCTTGTCTGTACGTTCTCATCATGATCCAGTTCAACAGGCCTTGCTATGGTCCATTTGACACCAAGAATCAAGCTCCCAAGGATGGTTCTGGGGGTAGGGACTAGAAAATGAACATGGCTACTTGAGGGAGTCAGCAGAGAAGAATCATCAACATAGCCATCTTTTCCCTCCACCACCCTACCCTCATTCTGGGCATGGCTTCCTGTATCTACCCACATGGTATGGCCTAGTGTAATGAGCATGTCTGTCCCTCTTCTCTAATTTTCTTGGTAGCATGGAGAGTGGACAGGGTTAGGAGTGCAGATTTGGCCCATCTCTGTGTCTCTCTTCCCTCCTTCCCCTTTTTGCTGAATGATGAGGATATCTTGGAAGCAAGTAGGATGGGCAGCACTCTAGCCTTAGGTGAAGGAGGGGGGAGTGCCACCATGGACCAGGCCAAGCACCAGGATGCCACCACCATTTCCTCAAGACCAGGCCCAAGGTCCCCTGAACATGAAGGGAGAGCAGTCTAAGAGTTTTTTGATTGAGGTCTATAGTTTTCGCCCAATAAAAATATTCAAGCACTAAGTGAACTCTTCTTTGTTGCCGTGGGTTTGGAGGGATGGAGTGGCAATGAAGGGAAGTGATGGCAGTCACAGGTCCAACCTTATATCCCATTTCTCTCTTCACGCTTCCTTAACCCAGGGATTCTGAATCTTGGTTGTGTCATGGACTGTGCTTAGCAGTCTGCCCAAATCTCTGGACACCTTCTTGGAATCATATTTTAAAATGTGTAAAATAGGGGCAGCTAGGTGGCGCAGTGGATAGAGTAGCGGCCCTGGAGTCAGGAGGACCTGAGTTCAAATGCGGCCTCAGACTAGACACTTGACATTAGCTGTGTGACCCTGGGCAAGTCACTTAACCCCAATTGCCTAAAACAAAAACAAAAATGTGTAAAATGAAAATACATGGGATTACAAAGGAAACCAATTATAGAAAAATATTTGCTAAAATAAATTTTCCGATTCCAGGTTCTGAACCCCCCCTCTAACTAGAGTTTTAATTTGTCATACAGACATATCTGTTCCTCCCACTTCCACTTTGGCTGGCATGTATTGGAGTGGCTTCTATAGGCAGAGCTTCCTTTAACCTTTTCATAAATATGTGTCCCTAAGCCTGGGCTTGGAATTGTGGAGGTGCAGAAATAGAAGACTAATCTCTCTGTTTCCAATTTCTCAGTAGAGTTGGATGGGGGAAGACCTAATCAAGGACTCCAACTCAATCAACATTGATTAAGTGCCTATGCCCCAGGCAGGTACTGTCCTAAACCCTGGGGAATACAATTAATACAAAAGAAAGACAGCCCCTGCCCTCAACTAGATTTACCACATAAGCGGAAACAACACAAAAGGAAGCAGGAAAAGGGGGTGGAATGGGGAGGGATAGGATGGTGCAGGGGCATCTTGTTCAATGGAGTTAAAACTAGGCTGGGCAGCAGATGCAAAGGGGGAGAGAGGATTGGAGAGTCCAGTTTCTGCTTTCTATAAAGGTAAGGTGCTCCCTTGTATGAAGATGCTTCCCGGAGCTTGAGGAATTGAAAGGCAAATACCTGGGATATGGGTGTATGTAAGACCGGATGCTGGGGTTGCTTCCCTGCTCGCTACCAGAGACCTCACCTGGGCCACCCTGGCGTGTCAAGTCAAGAAGCATTTATGAAGCATCTACTATGTGCCAGGCTCTGATACTATGGTACCAGAAGAACACGTGCACACAATTGGCATGCTTGTTCTTGTGATATCATGTAGATCAAGCCCTTCCTTGGTGAAGGGTGGACCAAAAACCAATCCTCTGATAAAAAGCAACCCCTGTGTTTAATAGGAATGTATATGTACAGCTTATATCAGATTGCACGCCATCTTGGGGAAGAAGGTGAGGAGGAAGGGGGAGAAAATTTAAAATTCAAAAGCTTAGAGAAGTGAATGTTGAAAACTAAAAATAAATTGATTAATTAAAAAAAAAGCAACCCCTAGGGAAATGTTAAGACTGAAATCTGACATATTGTCATTTCAAATTACAGTATAATACAATTATTAATAAATACTTTCAGATATAATTTTTAAAATGCAGATATACATGAAAACTACAAAGCAATCTGTGGAATAGCAGTTTAGTCAAAGATGACATAAGTAAAATAGAATAGCAAAAGGATAATAGAGATTCTCCACTGAAGTCCTCCTCCTATACCTCATCAGGGCCTAGAGATGACCCTGGCAGGTCCCACCAAACTGGAAAAAACATTAAGACTGGAGTCAGTACTAGACTGTGTCTACTGTCTGAGGCCCATTCTAGCTTATCCCCAGGGTCCATCTCCAGGTAGACCTCAGGGGAGTGAATTTTTGGTTGGTCACAGCAACTCCAGAAGATCAAGGTGACCTGTCACAGGTGTACATAGATGTACCAATGTACATTGGTGAAATTAGGACTCACACATGAAATCCCAGGTGTTGGAAGGATTGATGTCTTACATATCCAAACCTTTCCGGTGTTGCCACGTTGGTGCCCAGAGGTAAATGTCTAGTTCTAAATACCTAAGCTATATTCTAGTCTTCCACCTCATCTGTGAGCTCGGTCATATGAGTCTTCCTCCCAACAATGAGGATCACAGACCAGTCTGGACATCTCTTGGACATGTCTTCTGGTGACTTTGTCACAGGATTCAACCTAAGAATACCTGTGTTAAGAAAAGTAGTAAGAAAATAAAGTCTGCACGTAATCCCAGCTGAATCTGCTAAGTGGCCAGCCCAAATATGAGAGTGCCTAACTTACAAACCACACAAACTTGAACCTTTCCACAGCAAGTGAAAGGCTTTTCCCATAACAAACAGGTCAGATTAATTAACAAGCACTTATTAAATATCTACTGTGTTAAAGAAGAAGGAAAAGAATTCTTTATATAATAAGCAACATGCACTCAAACCCAAATCTAACCTTCCATGTATATGAGAAAGTCAAGAAAGTCACAGATGAATATAATCAGGTCCTCTCAGACTCGAGTGCATGAGACCACTCAAGCCACCTGATGACATACTGACCAGACACATGTCTAGATGGAGACAAGGGGCAGCATCCTGAGAAGCTGTGTCTTTGTACATCTTTGCCATGTTTGAGCAAAATAAACCTCCTTTTGGCCAATGTCTCACAAGGGCTTGCAATAACATACTAGAAAAGGAAATTAAAGGGATATTGATTGTTATCAAAGAAGCTAATATGTTTTTTTTTCACATAGTACATCTAGAAATCTTAAAGGATTCCATAAATCAACAAGCATTAAGGGCCTATGATGTGCCCTGTGTTGTACAAAGTGCTAGGAGTACAGAGGCAAGATCAAAACAGGCCTTGCTTTACCTTCTATCATGGGAGACAGTATGTGTCCATTCTCTGGAGCTACTCTCCACTCCCCCACTCACACTGGCAGGTCAAGTCTTCACAACTCAGCCACTTGTCCCCTCAGTCTTAAGGGTAGCCCTGAGAGATTGGGGAGGGGGAGATATCTTTCTAATGTTATCATTCAGCCCCTAGGGAATGTGCTTACTGCCATGATTATGGGTTGATTGTCAGGTAGACTTAGTTAATTAGCTTTTAGAAAGGCATTTTACTAAAGTAGACTAGTAAGAACAGTTGGTATAAAACATCCCCCCAAATGTCTGTGACATTCTACCAATTCATAGAGTCTAGGGGAAAATAGACGCAAGCTTGGCATACATATGGAAAAGGGGATAGCAGCTCATCTCTCTGTCCAACCTATCCTCGGCTCCCAATATGTTCATCTGCTGATCTGGGAACACTACTGGAAGATGGGCAGTCCTTTTTTGGTCAAAGGCAAGGAATCTTAAGGCCTGAGGCTGTGCTCCTCTCCCCCTCACCCCATGCTTGAATCTCTGGTTCTCAACTACCCATGTGCATTTGTATAGGCTGTTACTAAAGTTTCCTCAGCCAATCCGAGCATACTTCCCGGGCAAGTTCCTCCAGTTACCAAGGCCATGTTTTTTTTAGTGTAGTCCAAAGCCTATGATTGATTGAATGAAATGTCATCTCACATGATTAAGGGATCAGGACACAGCATTTTATCAGTTAACTTTAAAAGGATGGTTTAATTTGATTTGTTCAATCACTTTCTCCGTGCACACACATCTTTACAAGTAAATACAAAATGTGTCTATAACTCAGGTGTAGATTGAGTATGCACTTACACATATCCCATGAGACTCTTGGAACATTGCAGTAGTGTAAGCAGCCCACGCAGGTTCTTATGCTGCCTTCTACAAGTCTACAGAAAAACAGGTTGTCAACTTAATCAGCAAGGGAGCACTGTATAATGTATAATTTACCCACCAGATGGCACTATACTCTAGACACCAACGCAATGGTCTTGCTCAGTTGCTGTGGCCTGACTCCAAAGGGTGTATGATCAACAACTAGCCAATCATGGTGATGGGGTGATGGGACTTGGATCCCAAAAGGCAAAGACCACGTCTCTGGAAGCAACCCAGTATCTCAGTGGGCACCTGTGGGAAATTCTTTTCTTGTTGCAGGCACATACAGACCTGACCCTGTAATTCCTCAGATAAATGCTATCAGTGCAGGTTCAGGGGTGCTGGCCCAAGGACTCTTCCCCTGGTGCCTGATCTTCCAAGGACCATGCCTCTGGCAACCCTTTGTACTATAAACAGAACTATCTTATCCCTTCAATAAAACTATTTCTGTTGACTCTGAATTTTCCCTAACGTTCCAGCAGCCCAGACCACTGGCACCTGCACCCAAGGCACCTGGACTTCTTGCATATCCCTTTGAAAACTGACCACTGGAGGGGTAGCTAGGTGGCATAGGGGATAGAGCACCGGCCCTGAAGTCAGGAGGACCTGAGTTCAAATCCAGCCACAGACACTTGACACTTACTAGCTATGTGACTCTGGGCAAGCCATTAAACTCCAATTGCCTTTAAAAAAAAAAAACTGACCACTCCTTAATCCTATCCCCACCACCACCTAATTAGCATACTTGGCACACTATTCACTGAATTTTTGCATATAAGCTTTAGCATCATCCTCATTAGTTTGCAGATTCCCTAAGAACTTTGCCCCCTTCTATAAGCATCACAATAAACTTTTACACTTGACTAGAAGACAGTTTGAGTGTGTGAATTCATTCCAGGTGACACCATCCTGTACCTGACATTTTGGAGTTCCCAGCACCCCTAAAATGTGTCAATGGGACTTGTCCCTAATAGAATCATACATTTACTTGTCCCCCAAACTCCTCCATTTAACTCCCCCATTCAATACTTCCCAATCTCCTCCACCCCTGACCCTGCATGCTCCCAATCAGTTCCCTGCAAAATTTGGCTTTGCCTCTCAGGTCTCCTAGGTACTCAGAGCAGCAGCTATACAGGTGCCATTGAGAAAATTCTGCCTGGGTCAGTGGCCTCTGGTGCTGGGTTCTGTTCTGAGGGCTGTGAGTGGTCTAAAACCACCAGCTACCCCCTCCTAGTTCACTCCCTCC